GAAAATAAGCCAGCTGGTATTGTAATGGTCTGAATCTATTCATAGCTTCTATTATAATCTATTCATTTGAAAGGTGTAGAACATGGCAAGGATTTGGTTTAGGTATTTACTTGAATTAAAATCTGTTCTCTAGGAACTCAAAATATTTAGAGGAATACGATCATCAAGTTCACAAAAATCTCTCAGAGGAGGTTAGTGAAAATGTTTATGAGCCAAGATCAGAAGCACACCAAGATGATTAATGAGAACAGTGACTGAAGTCTACCAAGGACAGAGAATTAAGGCCAAAGTGGTCCCGTGTCAGCCACTGGTGATACTACACTGGGTACATATTATTTTTGCTCCCTCTTTTAGCTCGCCTACTCTCTTCTCCCCACTCCCTTCCTCTAGTTCCATAACCTCCAGGAATCTCCTGTTTAATGCTTAGCGATGGATGGCTGCAGAGTTTGCTGACACTTGCTCTGGGAAACAGGGCGCACTTGAATTAAGCATTGGTCCTCAAGCTGAGAGTTGGGGGGACGATTAGAATCAGGCAATGGGTCAAAGACAAACCAATAGAATACAAAGGAAATCCGTTATTTCTGGCTCTCCTTTCTATTTACTTTCTTAAGTTTTCATGCATTCTAAAGTCAATGAGAACTGTCTTTTGGTAGATCTTTTTTTTAACCATAGTTTTAAGATTACTTTAAGACTGAAATTAGATTTTTCTTATTTTTTAAGATTAAGAGAGGTATAAATAAGGCCTTCAGACTAAAGGGTCCCAGGTTTGATTCCAGACAATTATACTATATAAGTGTATCAAATCATTGCACTGTACACCTTTAACTTATGCAATGTTATATGTCAACTAGACCCCTGATACATGAAAAAAAAAAAAAGAGTAGGCCTTCCTTCCCCAGGCTGCCAGCACTGGCTTCCCTCTGGCCCCCGGGACCCGGGCTTCCCTTGCAGTCCTGGTTTCATCCGGAAGGATGTCTGGTCTAATTAGCATATTATGCTTTTATTATTGTAGATGTGTGTGTGTGTGCATACATATACATATATGAACATAAAAAACACAAATGTAAAACATTCCATAACAATTTTAGATTAATAATAAATTGAAAAATTAAAATGAATATTAAATGACATTTGTAAGAGCTTATAGTCAAACTGTGTGTTTCAAGATACTTGCAATGTCCTTTAAACACAGTTCAAGATGAGGCCATAGGATCCCTCAATATCACTAAATTATAATGCAGTATTAAATTATGGTGTAGGAGCCCACTGGGGCAGCAAAGTAAGGTGGAAGATAGAAAGCAAAAGTATGTCAGGGATTTTAAACAAAGACAACTTAATAATAATGGAGCTGGGGGAGCTCTCAGAG